GATCATATAGCGTGATTACATTACATTTATAGAAACAAATTAATCGTATAGTTTGCTTAAAATTCAAATTGATGGCAGTAATACAGAAATAATCTCCATTGAACATTATAATTGTATATGTATTATGGCCGATGGGTAGGTCGAATCTACCCAGATCCTTCACCAAATTTTTAAAAATTTTGATAGAATTTTAATAAATTAAGGTGGAACTAATTTTTAAATTAGTTTCTACAATAAAATTTAAACTATCTGATGACTTAAGTAGTATATATAACAGGAATTAGATTGAAATAGGATACCACTATACATACATAGTGGTTTAAGATGTTTCTGGAAATAACGCTAATATTCAAATAACATCAAAATGTTTCAATTTTTGAATAGGTATTTTAAGATAGGTGGATTTGAATGCTAAATGCTATTTTTTCCGGGTATCTTCACGCAAACTATGTAATATCCACGTTATTATAAAAAAATATTAACAATTCAATAAGCAGTCCTAAAATTTCATTAACCCACGCGCTATAAGAAGCATTTTCTTCTGTCGGTACACTCCAAGTGCCACGCCTCGTTTTTATTTTTTTAACCCTCTCATGCATAATTTGAAGGACATTTTTGTTTCTTAGAAAATTATTTTATTGTCAAATGTAAAAAATTAACATTAAAAAATAGTCTAGTATGTGTAAACACATGATTTTTTTTTCTTAAAACCTAAAAAATAGTCCATTCACTCTAGTGGTCACTATGCACTTGCGGAATCGCGGAAGCGTCAGTTACTGATATGAAAATGTTCAAAGTACGATGAACACAGCGGCTCGTTGCACCTTTTGAAGATGTATTTTATTTTTCTTTTGCAAGCTTTAGAGTGACATCTTTGAGCATTTAGCATATCAATTAGTTGTGGTTATTGCCCCGATTACATTGTCTAATTTCAGGGGGTGCATGATTATTTGGTGTCTTCTTCAAAATGGGAGGTGGTGTACCAGATGAAGGTCTACCTCTGTTATTTTGTTTCTGCCTTCCCAAATGTATTAATGCTCTAGCAATACTTTTTGGATTTCCGTTTTTCCTGTACAAAATACATGCATTTACAACAAGAACATCCACAAAATGCATAAAAACTCTGATGTACCAGCGTTTGTTTTTTCTTAGAGGATACAGAGCCAACAACTGGTCCATCAGGTCCACTCCTTCCATGTTTGTGTTATAAAACTGAACAGAAAATGGTCTGTTAACTTCTACAGTAGTCTTATTTACACCAGCATTTTGATTTATTCTAAGGTTCTATTCCAGCACAATTAAAAACAATGTAAGTAATCTTTACCTGTTAATAGTAACAATGTAAATACCTCAAAATAGATTCAAATCTATTAACAGGCATAGCATCTGCAATAAGGTCCATCCTCAGGCCATTATCATTTGACCAGTAAAGTCGTATTTTGAGATATCTGATGTACGCTATCAATACATTTATGCCCAAGAAAGCACATAACTCACATATTGTAAAACCAAAATTTAATTTATTGTTTTGGCCAGCATATAAATTGGTGTGAAAGACGATATCATCCATTATGTCTGCGGTGAATAGTGATAAAAAATAATCTATGAGATTTTTTCCTTGAACATGAATATTTTCTGTTCCTCTAAACTGTGTCAAACTGATGGCCCATACATGCTGTCATTCTTTCACCATTTCCAGTCTTTTTTCTCGGACATTTTTGGTTTTTTTCTTCATTTTGTAACGAATATATTTTGCTTACCTCAGGGTAAGAACATGGGGTAGAAGATTGGGCAAACAAAATAAATCGAAACTAGTGCGTACGGCACTCAGTTGGTTGTTGGAGAGCTGGGTCGTGGATAAGTTGAAATAAAATTGGGTCGGATTGGGGTATCTACAAAATGAATACAAAGGGATACTTACATAAATCTCCTGGGTAAAAAACGAATAAAATATGGCAGATAAGGTTACCTATAGCTATTTTTCTTTTCTTTGGACGCCGCTTTGAAGAAAACTTCCTGCTGGGGAAACAAAAAAATCTTCCCTAAAATCTAAAATACATACGAGGTTTAGGAGACTTTTCTAAATTAAAACACAAAATGGATCAGAGAAACAAATCGAACGTTTATTTTTGTCTCAAACAAACAGTTATCAAAAATATAGATTACAAAAGAAACATACTATATAACATAATACAAAATAACAAAAACTTACATGTTCTTTGTTTACATAAAAGATTGCTACAAAAGTTTTGAAATGATTTCTAGATTATAATGTGGCCAATTTAGATTATCAAAATTTTATGGATATCCTTTTTATGAAAATATTGTTGAATTTAACCTTACATATGAAATATCTTTTATAAATAATAATCAAATTAAAATTGTCTTATAACAACAATGGATTAAAGCAAAAATACGGCAACATAATATAAAACATTACAAATTCTTTTATTTTAATGAAAGCAATTATTAAAAATGACTTTACAGCTTGGAAAGATTAATATATTAAAAGTTACCTTAATTTTTACATAATCACTTAAATTTGAAACTTGTTACATCTCTGGGGAAGTTACTTGAACAAACTCTCAAACTGGAAAACAGGAACCATTTCCATACTCAGGCGGAAACGATTGAAACAGGAACTTGGTGAAGGAATCAATCTGACTACGGGGACATACCATATAATATTTCTCAAAAACTTCCGGTGTTTATACAAATTTTCCGGTGACTACCATAGGTAAATAAGTATATGATTACTCTATCAAAACGGCACTCAAAGCCAAGAGTATCTTCACCTTTACCGGTATTAAAATATTACCAAAAAATATCGATTGAATCGACTTTTTCGATTCAAATCGACACGCCTTGTTCGACCCATGTAGCTTGACTGACGCACCGGCGTTCATTCGCTCAATTCGAACGCCGAATCACCCTTCCCTTCGTCTCTCAGGCGCCAGGTGCCAGAGATCCTCCTGACAATTAATGAAATTTCCCTAGTCTATTGCGTTGTAAAAAAATTGAATACTTGACTTGCAATAATTCTTTCTAAGAACCTCTTTTTAAAACGGAATATTTGTGGGTTAGTGTAAACAAAATTGTTTTCAACTAACAAATACGTCTTTATATTACGTATTTAAGAATCTCGACTTTCATAACAGACTAACACATATTTTTTGGTATACCAGGGGGGTACTACAACAATTTAAAAGAGATTATATAGACAATAAATATAAAACGCTACAGTTTTTATGATTTGATGAAAATACCAAAATATGCTGAGCTAATGGAATGCCATCTTCACTCATATCATCGTCACTGTTTTCTGGCTGTATTTCTTCTAAGCCACTTTCAACATTTTGGTCTTCAGCCGTTACATGTTCGAGCGAATACGTCTTTTCGTCATTGTAATCAGATTCCAAATCTGAACCTTCTGGTAAATCATAAATAATGTCATTATTGTCAATACCTATAAATTTTTCATTTTCTGGTAAACATAAAGATGTTCCATCTTTATTGTCGTCTTCATTGGCAAAAAGTACTATCTGAAATAGAATAAAATTTCCCGTTGAAGAAATATTATGTACTAAAATAAAATAGGGAAGTACATAAAAAATGCCCTCGAAAATCCCTTAATAAATAATAAATCTTTGACAAGAAAATATCAAAAAATAAGTGAACAAGAAACATACTACTCTGAAATTTATACTTATAAAACATACCACAAGAGTGAAATTCTAAGTTACATATTCCATGATGTTGGACATGACTTCAAGGTGATATTTTCAGTAAGTTTTTTAATTATTTTAAAATTATGACAAAGGCTAATTGTGTAAAATACATAATTCTGTAAGAAAAATATTTTCTTACCTTTTTTGGCTTTTCCATATAAATTAAGGGCACTTATTTCAGGCAATTCACAGGTGGCCATCGCATTCAGGTAATTTATAGATATTAACATAAACAAACTTTGACTTTCAAAATAAATATTGTAGATGGCGGTAGTAGTTACTTGATTAGATTCCACTGAATGGAATTTCATGCAGTTTGCACAAGTTTCATAGATATTGTTCTGAAGCTATTTTCTTGTGGCATTGTAAATTAATTACTATTAAACTGGGAATAAGCCACAATTAAAGTTCTTATTCCCAGTTTAATAGTAATTGAGTTTCATAGAATTCAAATATTTGTTTGGAATTAAAAAAAATTGTCCACTGGAGTGGACTCAATGCATAAGAGGATTAAAGTTAATGTTACACCCTCTAGCTTCAAAAACGTAAATTTTTCGTTAATTAAACATTATAAATAATATTAAAAATTCATAGAAAGAAAAACCATTTACCTGTTTTCATGTAGTTTGGATAAGCTAACCGATTAACTTTTAGTTAACCGATTTGGCTTTTGTCTTTAGCATGAGTTTTTAAACATCTTAGAATTTAATGAAGCTAATTATTGAGGTCCATTGTTATTTCGTTTATCAAAAACAAAAAATGAGCAAGTGGGGTGGTATTTTGAGAAATTGGGAATTTTGGTTTGTTTTTAAAAATCGAAAGATGATAGGTTAAAAAGAGAGTGAAGAAGGAGATTTTGGATGTTGACTAATTTTTCAAGGGAAAGATAGAAACAACATCGAATCCTGGGAAGTAATTTAGTGCCGATAGTTGTGAATGGTTGTAAAAGTAATTTGTTAATAAGAGTTTAAAAGTGGTAGCAGTTGTGATCTATTAATGCTGATTAGGAGAGGATGCAGTCTAAGTTTTTGCAGTATTTATTGTACAAACCAGTTATTATTTATGGGGAGAATCATAGACAAGGAGATTTAAAAAAAAATTATATTGAACATAGAAAAAGTTTATTATGATAACAAATATAATTTGTTTAAATTACATTTACATATATCACGAATTAAACATATTGTTATGACTTAGTTCTCGTTACAATACAGCAGAATTAAAGAATTCTAATGATAAAAATAATTCTGCGATGGTGGTAAAATTTGTATCTTATTTCTTTAAGTTCATAAATCCACAAGATCTCTGGTAGCTTAATATTATGGTAAAGAGATGCCACAGAGAAAAATCTGGCCACAAAACGTCAGTAAAATACAAGTAAGTATCAGAAAGCTGCCAAAGGAGAAAGTCACTCAACCTGACTTCTCCAGATGTTCTAATCATCATACCTGGGTTTTTATCAAATTTAGAATACAACGATTTTGAAATTAAATCTTCTGAGATATCCTCACATTTAAAAGAACCTTCTTGTACGCCGTCTACTACTGATTTAATCGAAGCAGTAATTTCCTCCCGAGCTACGTAGAAAAAGGCTACGTTTAATACGAATCCATCATTTTCTTTGGTCACTTCGCAGGCTCGATCCATGGCTTTTCTTACATTTTCGGGAATCTGGTCTAAATCGCCTACTATTCTGATACGAACTTTTGCTTTTCTAAAATCACTTTCTTCTTTTTCTACTTCAGAAAATCTTTCTTCTGCTAACTGCATCAGATCGTCGACCTAAAAAGATTCAATTGATAATATCATTTGTTATTAAAAAGGCCTGTATGGATTTATGGTAGCTAAGTTTGGAGATATGCCAAAATAATCTAGAAAATATCTGGAAATTATAGAATAAACGACTTAAGTATATTGTGGATGCTCCTTGGTATGTGAGGAACAACCTCGATAAGGATTTGAGAATGAAAACTTTAGGTAGAATCATCAAGAAGACATGTAACTAATTCAGCTACTTCACCTTACAGGACTGTGTACTATAGTCTGGCAAATATTAAATGAAACTGTAAATCACAAATCACGCATCTTAAGTGGTCAAAAGTAGCCTAAATCATGTGTCTATCATGCATTCTCGAATCAACGTCCTGACAATATAAAACAGCAAAATAAAGACACCACAGATGAATCAACAGCTGAATCAGCAGATTTTCGGAACTACACAACGAAGCAAATACTTTAATTTTATAAGTGTCAATAAAAACCTAAAAATTCCGTCAAAGGAAGAACTGGAACACAAAGTAAACGTTTAACTTGCATGGTATGGAACAGGAATGATAACACAGCCCAAAAAATGAAAAATCTACACCACAGTTTAATGCTAAAGAATTCTTTAGCAATATACTCTGTCTACATGTTCAAAAAATGAAAACACATTTTCAGACTATGTACTTCAATTGTTTATATCTCCGGATCTACTCGATGGATTTTAACCTTTTTTTTTAATTTGTATGTACTATTTGCGTACATTACAAATATGTAATTTGTTTAAATTAATTAACTAATAAACAGTGTAATTTGTTTAAACAATTGACGAAAAACTTTAATTTTAGTATTTTAAACTAATCCTTTATTTTAGTTAGAGTATTTATTAATACTACAATTATATAAAAAATACTTTGTAATATTTTTTTCATAATATTGAATTATATTATAAGTGTCAAATATGTCAAGTAAAAGTTTTATTAAATATGTAACATATATATAATAGCTTATTTTTATAGTTTATTCGTCTTCCGGGCTTGGACCGTGTCATTTGTGAGTGACCCAAAAGTGGGTTCATCTCGACGTTTCGCTACAATTGTATGTAGCTTCTTCAGGAGAACAAAGAAAAAGAAAAAGAAAACAAAAGACTGGAAGGTGAGTAGTTAGCAACGGTAACTCAGTTACTCAACGCAACCAGAGGCGAATACTAACTACCAAGATGGGCATTTGGTCACAGTAACTCAGCTACTAGTAACACTACGACCGTGAGGAAGGAGATTAAGGTGATGAAATGTGTGGAATTTCGGACATACGAAGAGGTACGACCAGTATAGGTCTTAAACTGATTCGACAAGTACTTTGCGAGTTTGTAGGTAGGAGAGTTAATCGTAGTCACAATGGGACGAAGAGGTACGTTGTCTTTATGGATTTTGGGAAGACCGTAAATTCTGGGGCAGATGGAGTTTTTTCGGAACTATGGACTTCTTAACATCATCGGAAAGATCGGATTGTTTGATGGCATGGGAAATTTCGCGTTCGACTCTAGGAGTGGGGTCTCGAGAAATTGTATTATAACAGGATGTATCCCTAAGTAAGTCGTTTACTTTCTCTATGTAGGAAGGAGTATCCAGGATGACTGTGGCATTACCTTTGTCTGCAGGAAGGATTATTATCTCAGAAAGAGAACGGAGATTTTTGAGAGCTATGAGTTCCTCACGAGATATATTGGAAGTAGGGATTTTGGCTGTATCAAGACATTTAGCGACGTCGAAGCGGATATGGTCGGCTGGAATTTTGGGAATTGTGCGGAGTGCCGCTTCCACATTTGAAACTATTTCTTCGGTAGGAATTCTGGAAGGACTGATAGCAAAATTAAGACCTTTAGATAGAATACTGCTTTCTGCACTTGTTAATTGGTGAGAAGAAAGATTAACGACGGTGTTAGTAAGAGGTGAATGAGAAGTAGAAGTGGTGGAATGTGATTTTTTCTTAGATACAAGGGATTGGAATTTCTTTTTGTGAGTTTCGTTGCTTAGAAGAAGGATTTTATCGGCTTGATGATAGGAAATGCGGTCTAAAAGTGACCAATCATCGACACTAAGAATACTGGAGAGTTCAAGATGCAGCTTAAAAAGTTTTTGGGATTGAAAATTAAGGGTTTTTCGAATATGTTGAATCCGTTCACGAAGTAGAGATAGGCTGGCTCGATGTAGAATTCGGGAAGAAGATGAAGAGGAAATGTGATGTTTTAGAACAAGAAAATTGGGAACCAAGTTATTATCACGACATCTAGAGAGGAAGGTGAGCGAAGAAAGTAGAGATGAAACTTTAGAGCGAAGATTGGAGAACTCTGAAGATAAGGGCGGTAATGAGTCCTTAGGAGAGGGTAGATATTATGAGATTTTCTTGGGTGGTCGAAAAGTAGTCCTGATACCTTCTTTGCGAAGAATTTTGCCAATCCTATCAGTGACACTTCGAATATACGGAAGAAAAGCCACAGGTGTATTACCCGAAGATTCTGAATTTGTCGTCCTAGGGTGTAAAAGGGGGTGTAGATGTCGGTGTGAAATATTTTGAATTGTGGACTTGGAGTAACCGTTGGCGACAAGGGTTTTTTGCAGATGGCCAAGTTCTTCTCTAAGGTTGTCAGGTTCAGAAATCTACGAACCCTAAGTAGTTGAGTTACTGTGACCAAATGCCCATCTTGGTAGTTAGTATTCGCCTCTGGTTGCGTTGAGTAACTGAGTTACCGTTGCTAACTACCCACCTTCCTGTCTTTTGTTTTCTTTTTCTTTTTCTTTGTTCTTCTGAAGAAGCTACATACAATTGTAGCGAAACGTCGAAATGAACCCACTTTTGGGTCACTCACAAATGACACGGTCCAAACCCGGAAGACGAGTAAACTATAATTCTGACTCTGGCCGTGGAATCCTACGATTTCAGCTTATTTTTACTTTAAATTAAGTATTATTAAAATATTTATTAAGGGTAATTAATTAAAGAAAATGTATTTTACCTTTTGCTATAGATAATAATGATAGTGTTACAAAAAATATCGGTTTTTGGTGAGAATTTTTTTCATAAATTATTTAAACAAATTAAACTTTTTAATAATTAATTAATTTATAAACAAATTACATATTTGTAATCTGCGCAAGGAGTACATACAAATTAAAAAAAGAAAGATTAAAATCCGTTGAGAAGATCCAAAGATATCAATTGTAGTAGTTTTAAAGATCTCTTTTCATTTTTTGAACCTGTAAATTTGTGGGTTCCCTCCACCCGTCACTATTAGTCCTAATTTGAACCATACTTTTGACAATTCACAATATACTTTTTGTACAAAAACTACGAGTACTTTTCTTTTATATTTCGAAAGTTGCGTTCCTTAAATGTTATAAACAAATTAGCTGTGAATTTAAAGAAAAAACTAACTTTGGCCCAAATTATCAACAATTAAGAACTTTTTTTTTAATTCTTGTAAAAATTTCAGCACTTCAAATATGAAAAAAGATTTTATCTACGAGCAATAGTATAAAAGTTATTGTAAATGTTTATAAATAAAAAACAACCGTAAAATAAATTTTACAAAAGGTTTTGCCTTGTAAAAATGATTTTTTTTTTAAGTTTTTTTATGCATATTGATAGTTTAACTGTTAAACTTTCATTTGCCATACGTAAAATCACTGCATCTTTATTATATTCTGACTAATATTATTTAAAAAAAAAGATCCCCGGGATAAACAAATATAATAACTTTAATAATAAATGTCTTTGTTGATTTTTACAATAGTTATTTATTATAATTTTGCCTTAAATATTATTCTTTTCAATGGCAAGCAAAAAATCTAAAATATGGCATTTTTTACACCAAATTGTTAGTAATTAAAAAATGACTGTAATTTATACGGAAAACATATATAGATTTTCTTTATATAAGCCTATAATAACTAAAAAAATTGTTAGATATCTGGATTAGTCACAGTCTCGAACATGGTCTCCGAATTGTTTATTTCCCTATGCCCTATACTATGGACTATATCTATAGAACAGTTGCAAATAAAATGAAAATAATCATGTCAACTCAACATCACTGGCGCATATACTATTAAGAAGAAAAATAAAAATATTGTTGTAATTTTCCAAACGTACTTACCTCCTGTTTAGTCCTTTTCAAATTTTCTGTACTAAATGCATACACAGTAACCTCCCTGATACCCAATTCCCGGCACCATTCATGACAATCAAGTAAGGTATCAAATCCCAACGAATGCGCTTCTATTTTTTCAATCATTTGATTTTTGGCAAATCTTCTATTTCCATCCATTATGATAGCGACGTGTTCTGGAATAGGGCCTTGCTTTAAAATACGTAAACAAAACCTGTGGAATATAGTTAATCTGTTTTTAACCCACGGCATTATTTACCGAAATAATAAAAAATCGCGGAGTATGTACTTTCACTTGCGAACTCGTCAGCGGATGTCGCGAATTTTCAATATTTTGCACCTGACCAAATCCGCAAACTGTACCGTACCTTAAAGCAGGTAGGTACCTATATACAACGGGGTATGTTTTTCCAGTTTGACTCGTTTGTTGACCACGGTATTTTGAAGGTTTAATTTTGAAATCAACGACCTTTACAATTATTAAATATAAAGTAAAATGCAATTATAATGCAATTATATGGGTCGACTGAATTCGGCAGCGTTTAGTACATATTAATCATGGATTTTTACCTGGTGTGAGAAAAAAGTTAGTTATTGTGTATACTAAGTATTGTATATAGATCATAAATAAAAGGATTTGTTACAAAATTAGAAAGGACAAATGGACATAATTTGGAGAAAAGATTAGATTAGATTAAGAGAGGTGGCCTTTCGGCCTATTCCACTGCGACCTTTTCAGATCTATTGTGGCCCTCTAGTCCTAGACAACATTCTCTAGCCTGACCCTCTTTATAAAGTCTAGTAGCTTCGAGACTGTACCTTCCATGTAGCTGTTTGCTGGTGGATTTTCTTCTCCTAATGCAAAAAACCGCACATTTGCCAGACTGTCACACTGACATAAAATGTGCTCTGCCGTTTCTTCTTCGAGGTGACAGAATCTGCACAGGTCATCATCTGATAATCCCATTAGCTTCAAGTGCCTATTCAGCTTACAGTGCCCTGTTAGAAGACCTACTATGGCTTTGACTGTTTTCCTATCTTTGCTAATTAGGTCTGCCGTAAATTTTGGCGAATGTTCTCTAATGAACTGTTTCGCCTGTCTTTGTCCTGGTGAATTCCTCGAACATTCCAGAGATTTGTGAGCTACCCACTTCTTTGTAGCCGTTCTTTTTACTGACTTTGCAACGCCGCAGAAGGGTTAAGGTCCAATGAATGGCATTGATGAGCCTTGTTTGCCATTTCATCTGCTTTTTCATTGCCCTTATGACCCTCGTGCCCCGGTACCCAGGCTACAGTAACCTTGCTACGGTCTCCTAGTTTATTTAGGGCACACACGCAATCCCATACTAGCTTAGAATTGACCTCTACAGAATTGAGTGCCTTAAGCGCTGCCTGACTATCTGTGAAGATGGCAACTGAACAGAACGTTCTTTCCTGCCTTCCTATTTCTTCCACACAGTGATGAATTGCAGTTATTTCCGCCTGGAAAACTGTCACATCCTTAGATAGACTTACCGGGAAATGTATCCCTTGATTTGTCCCTACTATGCCGGCTCCAACACCCTCCGATGTTTTTGAGCCATCCGTGTACCAGGTAGCAGCAGCTTTTATGGGTACCCCTTTATTCCACTCTTCCCTGCCCGGTATTTTAATTGTGAATTTATTGTTAAAGCTATATCTAGTAGCTGTTGCATCGATAGGTTTCCCTATCACAATATCGGCTTTTAGCTCCTCGATTAGCTTTCTGTTGTCAGTACCATGCGTTTGGCTTATATGTCGCTGACTATGGATTAATCTGTGCATCACTGATCTGGAGAAAAGATGGAAAAATCAGTAAACAGAATCAGAAACTGTTCTGGGAGTTTTAAAATCAATGAAAAAAGAAAAAATGTAAGACATAGAAAACATAAACAAACTTCTCACAAAAGAAAATGAAATAATGAACAGATGGAAACATATTTCCAAGAGATGCTACAAAATCACTACTGTCAAGAAGAAAACAACCTGTTGAACCAAAGAATAGAAGATCATAATGTAGATTCCTTTTTTCTTCTTTTTATATAGACATGACTTGAATAGAGAGACTTATTAATAGAAAAAAGATGTTAAATGATACTGTAAAACAAGAAATAACTGGTATATTAGAACAAAAAATAAACTTAATATCAAGCAAAGAAGAAAGTACTAAGGAAAACTGGACGAGAATTACAGACTGTTCAAGAAACAGAATTGAGTGCGCTAAAAGCAAGAAAAAAACAAGGGTGGATGACAGAAGAAATACTAAGACTTATGAATCAAAGAAGGGAAGTCAGAAATAAAAATAAAAACGAATACAAGAGGATTCACGCAATAATCAGGCAGAAGATAAGACACGCGAAAACACAATTTCATAGTAAAGAATGTAATGAAATTGAACAATATGAAAATAAACACGATACATTTCATCTGCACAAGAAATTAAAAGAGGTCGCTGGAAACAAACGGAAACAAGTATCCCAAAGTATAGAAGACAGAAACGAAGAAAGAATATTAGACATCAATGAACAGTTAAAAGAATGGGAAAACTACGTTTCTGAATTATTTGAAGATGAGAGAGTAGAACACTATACACCGATTGCTATATTAGGTCCATCTATAACAGAAAGTGAGGTTACATGTTCAATACAAACGGCAAAAAATGGAAAAGCACTTGGTCCCGATAAAGTAAGTGCAGAAATACTAAAGTTTTTGGGAGAAAATGAGAAAATTCTCTTTAAAAGAATTTATGACACTGGGATATTACCAACTGATTGGTTAAAGTCGACATTTGTCACAATACCTAAGGAACATCGTCCAAAGACATGCGGTGATTATCCGGCAATAAGTCTGATGAGTCACGTTTTGAAGATCTTCCTGCGAGTAATACACAGTAGCATTTACACGCAGTTAGAGGACAGAATTAGCAATACTCAATTTAGGTTTAGGAGTGGTTTGGGTACAAGATAATCCTTGTTTAGTATACAGGTGCTAGTACAGAGATGCAGAGATATAAATCAAAATGTGTACATTTGTGCAATCGATTTTGAAAAGGCTTTTGACAAAGTCCGACATAACAAAATGCTAGAAATATTGGAAACAGCTGGATTGGACGATAAAGATCTACAAATAATTACAAATCTATACTGGCATCAAGAGTGGCAAGAATAAAGGTTGAACAAGAACTGTCGGATGAAATAAGTATAAAAAGAGAAGTGAGACAAGGCTGTATATTGTCGCCTTTACTTTTTAACTTATATTCGGAGGAAATATTTAAGGAAACCTTAATGGAGACAACTGAAGGTATTATTGTGAATGGAATAACCGTCAACAATATTAGATATGATGACGATACCTGAGTGCTTGTTAATTGCGGAGAAGACCTTCAAAATCTAATGAACAAAATAAAACAGTATGGATTAAAACTAGACTTTAAGAACATTAAATATACGATATTTAGCAAACAAAATTATATACAGGATGACGGTATAAAAGTCGGAGATGCCACACTGGACAGTAGAGAAACTCGTGTATCTCGGCAGTAATATCAATGAGAGCTGAGACCCAACCGCAGAAATTAAAAGCCGAATAGAACAAGCCCGAGCTGAATTTGTAAAAATGAGAAACGTACTTTGCAGTCACGATCTTAGCATTGACCTTAGAGTTCGAATGACATCTTGCTACATCTTTCCTGTCCTGCTGCATGGAGTGGAAGCGTGGACTCTAACTAAGGCTATCCTTAAACGCTTGACAGCATTTGAGATGTGGGTATACAGATGACTACTGAAAATAAGCTGGGTCGACAGAGTTAGAAATGAGGAGGTCCTTAGACGGCTGAACCAAACAACACAACTGGTCAATATAATAAAGAAACGCAAGCTGGAATACTTCGGTCACATTATGAGACACCCTGAACAATATGATCTTTTATATCTGATCATTCAGGAAAAGATCCAAGGTTATCGTGGTCCTGATAGAAGAAGAACATCATGGCTGAAAAATCTAAGGCAATGGTATGGAAAATCAACTACATCGTTATTTAGAGCTGCTGTCAATAAAGTCACGATAGCGAATATGGTAGCCAACATGATATCCAACGATCGATAACGGTCATGGAACTAGAAGAAGAAGAAAGAAAATAGATGGATTCCATAAAAAATCTAAAATTGTTAAGGGAGATTGCAAAAACCTAGCAGAAGATTTATTCTAAGAAGCGTTTAGCCCATTTTTTTATAGTATTTATAAAATGAAGGTATTAACAATGATCAGTTTATTAAATTATCACCCTGTATGTATTTTGAAAGGTAATAAAAATAGACGATTTCCTAAGGGAAAAATATGACACACAGGATTTCGGCGAAAAACTGTCAACTTGAATTAATAAATTACATAGTTTGAAAAATGGTCCAGTTCTTCCATCCGCTTGTTCGCCTGTCCTTTTACAGAGAGTTTTAATGTAAAGAAAAACCGAAAAGAATCCCAATTTTCCGCAAAATTAACAGTTATCCAGGGATACACTCACCGGAGAGGACGGTTTTAATAAATTAAAAGTAAACTAGGGACATGCGCCATCGTGTCCTCCGGCATATATGAAGGATCTTGCGTACAAAAATCAATAAAGCTGTGAAATGTGCCTCGGGAAATCAAGGATAACCGCTGTAGGAAAACCAGAAATTTTAAGGAAAGGTACAGAAAGACACGTCGGATAATTTGGCAGTGAATTAAAAGTGATAGTTTAAGTCATTCCGCGAATACCAATCAAAACATTGCCGATTTTTATAAACAATGATTCATTTTAAGGCCATTTATATCTGTCTACTAACACGGTTACCCACTTTTCTTACAAATAAACAATTTTTGTTTACCGTGTGACAAAAGGTCGGAAAATTTAGGAAATGATTCGATTTGCAGTGTACACGGTTCTTTTCTTATTAATTTTTTTGAAGTGTTGCAATTTTCAAAAGCCGAATATGGACAATAAAAGACACGACGTGTATGTTGCTGGGTTCTTTCCTTATGGAAGAGGAGTAGAAAATTCTGACACAGGTAACAAATTATAAATACAAATTATAGTGAAATATCTATGACAACTATACAATAATTTTTGTAAATATTTAAAACGTTTGCTTTCCTTGTTCATATGA